CCCCTCCCCCCCCCCCCCCCCCAGCCACTCCAGGGTTTCCACATGGAGGGTGTGTCTGCGAAATAGGAGCGCGCAGACTTCTTCCCCAGGGGGTCTCTGGCAGCCTTTCTTTGGCTGTACCCCGACCTCGCTTTCGCAGGCTGCAGCTCCCTAGGCGCGGCCCCAAAGGCAAGGCCGTGCGAGTCGGTGCGGGCGTCGCGTGGTAGTCACACGCTCTTCTCTTCCCTTCCTTCCCTCCGCCTACCCGGCCTGCAGACGGCTCCTTCCCGATGAGCCAGCGCAGCTTCCCCGCCTCCTTCTGGAACAGCGCGTACCAGGCACCGGTGCCCGCCACACTGGGCAGCCCTCTGGCCGCGGCGCACTCGGAGCTGCCCTTCGCCGCGGCCGACCCCTACTCGCCCCCCGCCCTGCACCGGCCGCACTTCGACCCGCGCTACGGGCCACTGCTGATGCCCGCCGCCTCCGGGCGCCCGGCCCGCCTCGCACCCGCCCCGGCGCCAGCGTCCGGGAGCCCGGCCTGTGAGCTCTCCTCCAAAGGCGAGCCGACCAGCGCCGCGTGGGCTGCGCCCGGGGGACCGTTCGCGAACCCCGCGGGAGACGTGGCCCAGGGTTTGGGCCTCAGCGTGGACTCAGGTAAGGGAAGGAGGGAGGCTGACCTTTCCGTGGCCAGAGGGTCTGCATGCACGGCTGGCTGTGCTTCAAGTGATAGATGGCCCTGAGCCATGGGTTTGGGTCCAGGATGAGAAAGAACCCTCCCATAACCCAGCCGGCAACGACTACCAGGAAATCTTGTAAAAAAAAAAAAAAAAAAGCTTCCTGTACAGGGCCTGTCTAGTTCTGCGCTGTTCCGTGCTGTAGCCGCTACCCATATGCGGCTACTGAGCACACAGGGCTAAACCGCGTTCTGATGTGCTTAGGATGTGCATTTCGGAACTATGTGCAAAGAAACAATGTAAAATTCATCTCGGTCTTTTCATATGGATTGCACGTTGAAATACTTTCAACATATTGCCTATGGGGTGTATTGCATCAAATAAAATATATTATAAATATTAATTTCACCTCTTACATGTTTTTCAATGCGACTGCCAGAAATTTCGGAATTATGCTTGTCGCTCCCACGCTATTTATACAGGACAGGCCGACCTAGAGTACCTGATGTCAATGCAGTTTAAAATCTTCTAAGGTTTGGATCTTGTCACCTAAGGACAGTTAGAAGGAAAGAAAAATATGTGACTGGTATTGGCTTAATTCCCAAATGAAATGGGTTTCTTAAAAACGTAAAATGTAAAGAATAATGCTGTCTCTGGCTCAAAGAGTTGCATTTGAAAGGTTCAATTAAGGGCTTGCTCTTTTTGCTTTCTTTATTTCTATATTTTTTTAAAGACAAAGTTATATAATAAGTGCAATCATTGGTTTATAATCCTGCCCACTTGCCATTCTGTCAGAAAAAAATCTGGCTTTGCAGTTTGCTTTGCTTTACTTCGTTCACCCCATTTAGATGAGGTCTATGACTTTCATAATAGAACGATTGTGTTTGTCTTTCTCTGTCCTTACATATCTTGTGTCTTCCCTTCCCCCTTTCTCTCTCTCTCTCTTTCTCTTCTCTCTCTCTCTCTCTCATTTTCTATTTTCAGGTTTGCAGCCTCAGGACAAAAGCCAGGATCTGTACTGGTTTTAGACAGCCCACCTTCTTCCCTGTAGGTCTCTGCATGGTGCAGTTGGTGACACTGGAGCCAGGTGGAGTGGGTTTGTAACAGCTTCTGATCTTGGTTTGCAGCTCGTCGTTATTCCCTGTGTGGTGCATCCCTCCTGAGCTGATCGCTGACCCAGGCTTTCCCCTTCCTTATCCCTTCTGACCGGCAAAAGAGGCTCAACACCTGTGCCTCCCTCCGCGAATGAGGACATAGGAAGGCAGAGACTTCAAACCTCTCCGTGTGTTGGGATAACCAAACACCACATCTACAAAAATGTCATCGACAATGCGTTCTGCTGGAAGAGCCAATCCAAAGACTCGACTCTGAGTCATAGCTGATGACTTTGGCCAAATCACTGGAAATACCTGTGGTGAGATCGTGTAGTCAGATGATATGGTATCACAACTCTTGTTGGAACAGGGGAAAGAAAGAGACTTCTTGGTGTGAATATTTTTTATGCTGATGTGAATTATTTCATTCGGTAGTGTGGTCAGAGCACCACTGCTGTCACTATCCTCAGATTTTAACATGTATTTGTGTTTGCCTCGAAGACTGTGGTAGAGAAGTAGAAAGACGCCTACTCTTTCTTCCTTACCACCCAGCCGGCCTCCAGCTCCCTTCCTGCCAGTCTTCTCCCCACAACACCCACTCCAGACACAAAGACACATTTTCTCCTTTGGATTGTGAACATGGAAGCCTCAGCCTGAATGTGAGTGGCAAGTGGCTTATCTGGAGCCACCTGCCCGAGTCTTACTGAAATGCAGCTGTTGTAGGACAACTGTTTCAAACTCCAGAAATACATAGACCAAGGTGGCACTTCCCAGTGTTTGGCAGAACAATTGCGCTGGATATATTTTATATATGTGTGTGTATATATCATGTTTTTTACAAGGAACATTTGACGATGAAAGAAGAAATCCATCTCTGCCTTCTCTCCCACTAATTCTGTCCCTCCATCATCTGTTTCAAAAAAAAAAAAAGATCCCAAACAAAACAAAACAAAAAACAAGAGACCCCCCCCAACAACAACAACTGAAGGAAAAAACAAGAAACACCAAAAACACCAAACAAGGAATGTCCATGGAGCCTCCAATACCTCGAATGTTTTTCTCTGTCTGCACAGTTGTGATTTGGTCATTTTTAGGGATGGGAAGGGGTCTGCATGGGCAAAGGTGAAGGTGATGAGGAAGAAACAACCATTAAAGATGTCTATTTACTACACGTTCTCTGTGTCATTTCATAGAAACAAATGTCTTAGTTGTTTTCTAGTAGAATGAGGGAATGTATTGTAGTGTGATGTGATGGCAGTACTGTAGTGTGTATGTGAGTAGGCCTGAGTGTATAGGTGTGTCTTTTTACTCTTCCGGAGTGTTTATTGTGCTGTGAAATCTCATAGCTCCTTTCCACCCCTCGTCAGCCCTGAAGATGAGTTAGGCAGTCCCACCTCTGATTCACAATGAGAACACTGTGGTCCTGGAAGCCCAGGGTCTTCCCGTTAGCATTCAGCAAGTTAGAATGCTTTTGGCAGAGGAGGTGCGGAAAGCACTACCTGTAGACCACTCATTCAGAAACAGATTTATTATTTCCCAGAAGGGAACTAGTGTTACTTCTCAAGTTTTACACTCTTAAGATGGTAGAGCCATCAATTAAAGGCATTTTAGAACTATTGGTTATTTTATATTTTAATAACCTAGGCTCAGGAACCAAACTTCCTTTTTGAAAAAATAATGGAGACTATTACTAAATTGATATTTTTCTCTTTTTTTTTTCTTAATGCCAAGTTATTTGTGTTCTTTCTCTGAAGTGCAGGGAGATTTTGCATTATGTTCAAATTGCCCTTATACATGGTCAAACCATAAAAACATCATTCAAAATCTTAACCTTCGTTATAACTGAGAGGCAAAATAATGTATCTTAGTTAACAGCCCTGAGAGATTAAAGCGGTTGAAGGAGCATGAACTTTGCAGTTACCCATCTTTTTTCCTGGCATGTGGGTATCAATGAAGTAAATATGGTCATTACAAGAATGATATTACTGTACTTGCTCAGAAAGAAGATCCTTTGTGATTATGCTGTACTTGAAATGATAATAAAAATAATCAGTATTTATCATGCACCAGGCACTGATCTGAAGGCTTTAAATATGGATGAACTCATTTAAGCCACACAAAAATCCAATGTGTTATTTATTGTTATTTATTTATTTCTTACCTATGGGGTTTGGGGGTGGGGAGACAGACCCTGAAGCATGCACACACACACAGAGAAAATCGTTTGTAATAACTTGTAAGTGTTATAGCCAGGACTCAAACCCAGGCAGCCCTGATGCAGAGGCTACATCATTACCCACTGCAACGACCACTTGTCCAGTTCTGATTATCTCTTTATTGTTCATCTTTGGGCTTGCTTTCTCCTCCGCCATAGATGAAAAGAATGGGAAAAGAGGCAAAGGAAGAGACGTTTTGTAGACCTTAGAAAGTCCAGGTCTCAAAGGCACTGCTACAAAACAGTCTGAACTCCATCGAATGGCTTTACCTTTAGACCATCTGTCAGATGTGGATCTCTATTCTTCTCCAGGAAGGAATTATTATTGCTTCTCTTATTAATTCATTGCAGTATTTAACAGTCTTTGCCGCTCTGAAGTTCTTCACACCCAAGCTAACTAAGCCGTGTAAGAGTTAGCCTGAGGTTTGGACCTTGAAGCAATAACTAAAATTAACTTTGGACTTCTCTGTGGATTTTTTTTAATCCATGTTCCACTGGCATGGATCACTGGTATATGCAAGCATAAATAAAATGCAATAAGTTCCAAGGTGCTTTCCAGAATTTGCCACTAAATATCCCACTGAAGAAGAAAGCATAGCAGTGCATTCCATGCTAGACATCGCCAAGTACTGCTCTCGAGAAGAGGCTTTTTTTTTTTTAACCTATGCTTTATCTATGTTAGCCTTTGTGGGTCTGTGGTCAGAACTCACAGGGAGCATTTTCCCAGCCACGAGGTTCTGATTATTGAAACCGCTCTCCTAAGCTGCATCTGACCTGAATATCGGGTTGCTGATGAGGAGACTCATTCACGGGGACTGGCCTTTGGGGCAGTCCTAAACAGACTGTCTAGACTGCTAAGACAGTCCAGGTTCCAGAGAGCTGACAGGATGACACCAGAAGACATAATTTCCCTCCAGCTTATACCTTTATAAAGTAGAGGTGCGAGATGATCTGAACCTATCATAATTTGGTTCTGTGTAATAAGAACGTCAAAGAGAACTTTGGTATTAGCCCTGTCAACCTTCAGTCTCAGTAAGTCTTGCAAAATATGAGTTCCCATACTTGCCTTGCTAATATTAGCAAAACCGGGCATATTAGAGAATGTTCTAGTAGATAAAGGGCATTCAAGGAAATGAAGGATGGCGTGAGCAAGGCCAGCATGTTTTTACATCAGCCTGGTTGGGGATCTCAGAGAAAGATCCAATTCTCCTCTAATCACACCCTTTGGCACACGTGTCCCTTTCACCCATAGCTTTCCCTTTGCACTTGGCCTAGGCGAGGGAGAGGTGATGAAAAGGGGAGAGACGATGCTCCACCACCAAGTAATCCTTTTGCCGATTGCCCTCTGGCTGAGAACTCAGTCACCCAACTACAGGGAACTCTATCTGTTCTATTCCTTTAGTCTAAAAGGAGTTGCCATCCCGTCTCATTTCCCCTTTGAAGTTCTATTTCAATGAGTGGCAAATTCTAGCAATGACTTAAGATTGATTCAAACTCAGATGGGGATCGGTAGAGGTGGTGGGTATTGGGACTCAAACTCCCTGACTGAATGCTTCTCTTGCTTGCCATTCTTCTGGGTGAGTACTCTGTTTGCTGTGCCCTTTGACATCTGAGGGAAACAACTAATTTTGTGATTTTAGAATCACAAAAGTGCAGGCACCCACACGCTCTGGCAAAATAACAAAGAAGCTCTTTTTTAAAGATTATTTTGCCAGATGGCTCCTGTGCTTACCAGAGAAAGAGACAGGGATAGAGAGAGAGAGAGAGAGAGAGGGAAAGA